AGTAGATGTGAGCAAGCTGAATTATATATAGGAAGATTAATTCTAGAGAAGAACTGTTTGTTGGGTGGAATCTCTAACAAAGGGGGAAAGGAGAAAGAACCGCAGTAGAACGAGGTTTTGATTCTGACTTGTTTAGTGAAATGTGTTAATAGTGGACACCTTTACAAGTATGCTGTCACTTTTGTCAAATCATACCATGTCCAAAAGTTTAAAAGTTACTGGAGTAGCTAATAATGTGATGGTAATCATTGGATTTGGGTTGCTGTAGTCTGAAATCAAAAGCTGTTGGAATTCAAAGTTTAGTCTTGTGCTACTGCAGTTGTTGTGTCTCCACTCTCCAGTTTGGGTGTTAGTTCTATGAATCTTATTTCCCGTTTTAGTGTAGGTTTGTTTAAGGGTAATTATGACTACCCTTGATGTGCTTTTCTAAACTCTATTTAGCATGATTTCTTTTTCTGGATATATCTCATTAACCATTGAACATGGTGGTTGCATAGTCGACAGGATATTTCTGTTAGCCACAATAAGCCAGCTTCCAGTAGGAATTGATTTAGTTGATTATGTGTAGCTTGCAATCTTTGAACTCTCTTCTTTGAATGAGAATTCCTGATGACTCTAGTAAGTGAGAAGTCGATGGCTAAGATCTTATTTGAGTGATAAGTTTAACATGTTTGTTCCTATAATGTGTAGTTGTCGATATGGTTGTTTTAGATTAATGTGGCAAATTTTCCATACTTTTACGTTTTAATGTGAGCTCTTGTTAGATTCGTTCCAATGTTCAAGGGTTTTCCATGTTGATTAGCCCTACTGGCTGACCATTTGCTCTTCTATTGTTAGAAGAATATTAGTAAGGTTGAGTTAGAGAATTTTCCTGAAGTAATATAATGCTAAATAATTCTTTTTAAGCAAGAAAGATTTGTGCGCATCAAAGATGGCCTTCTTTATGCACTTTAGCTGTCTTTTGTTAGTTCCTGCACTTTGTCTGGGCTCTTATGTAATGGTGGTGATCTGGTGAACTAGTGACTAGTTTCATATGCAGGAGTCTCTTCTAGATAGACGGATCCACATAGTCTAGTGTGTGTTTGAGGGACGATGGGTTAAAATTCCAAATTTGGGAGTTGGATAGCTACCTGCCTACCTCTGCTCTTAGAAGACTTGTAGTTTTTATTGGAATTTTAGGTTGTTAGAAGAGTGGAGGATATGCAAGGAAGACAAACCTTGTTGCGTAGCAAATTGTAGGTGAATAGAAACGAAATTGCATGCAGTGCTACCTCCACAATAGCCAAGAAATCTCTTCCTTCGTTCTTCCCTTCCCGCTTTCTCCTTTTTAGATTGGTTTTTGGAAGGTAAGGATAGATTATGTTTTTGGTAATACTAGCTTCAACTTCCTCTAAAAGGCACCATAATTTTTACTCAGTCCCTTCCTAAGTTCCTAGAAAGTTTCCACGCTTGTGTTCGGCACATTAATTAAGGATTGTTGTTGAATATGAACCAGACTGACATGATGATAGAAAGAAAATGCTGTGAGTTGATGTGATGGAGTGATAAAAATGAAAAGTTAACTTCAAATGCAAGTGTGAACATTCTATTGGGGTAACAATAAGGCAAGAAGCTTGTTTATAATAGGGCTGAAGGGAGTATCCTGAACACTTGCTCACAGATGGCTTTTTTTTTTTTAGTAAAACACGGGTATGCGTCCATTGTCTATGTATCAGACATGGATATATTATGATATTCTATATTTCTGGTCCAAAACGTAATGCTAATTGTTTAAACTCATGTTCAAGTGTTAACAATCCAAAACGAATACTTGTGATAACATGAAGAGTATGAGTATCACTGCATCCCACTCTCAAGTCATATAATAATCCCCTGCCCCTTCTTATCTCACTCATTGTTATGAACTTACGATATCATCGACATGATCATAGATGATCAAGCCTTGATTGCCTCCACAAACCTAGTTTATCTGCTGTAAGGTTATGCTTGCCTAAACCTATTTTCGGTTGGTTGCTATACATCAACTAGATTTGGAACCCTCATATAAGGTCTTTTCTTCCTTTTGGGTGGACAAGTAAATAGCAAACATAACACCTCTTGTTGGGTAGCATTGTAGCACTCATCTAATTTGAGTAACTCTCTGTTCTGACATGCCAACAATCTCATACATTGCTACCACCTTAGTGCATCATTGGCTAAGGGAGTTCAGTTAAAACCAGTGCCTCTTCCCTAAAAAAACCAATATCAATATTGCTCAGCATTTTCACAAAATTCTCAGGGTAACACAAGGATCCATATGTTGATGACTTCCAGCAAATTTCAATTTAAGTGGAATCACCATCAATTTGTTCTTTGGATAGAAGAGTTGGCTTTGAAGCGTACTAGGGATTAAGGGACAGGAGAGATAAGAATGATCCTTGATCCAGATGAAACCTGAGACTCTATCCAACCTCCTCCCCAATTAAAACAAACCTAGTGTATGTTATTACCAGAGTTTTCGCCCTGTTCCGGCAATGTGTGCAATGATATTGGCTGTTTTTTGATTTTTCTTGTAATTACATTGGAGCTTGTTGATCAGGATGAGACAAAATAAAATACAGCTGCTCTAAAGTTGAGTGCTATTATGACTTGTATTTTTAATGAGCCCATACTCGGTTGCTGATTAGCTCACAATTATGAGAATCACCTGGATAAGATGCACATCATATATGTGACATATTTTCTGTGACTATCTTTTTACCATCAGTATCATATGCTCTTTGGAAAGTCCTTCTAAGATCTTTTTTGGTCTCTCATTTTTGTTTGTTAATCCAGTTTCAGGTTATAGCAGCATTAGGTCAGAAGCACCAAGACTATACCCAAGTGCAGAATTATACTCTAGCTCTTCTATTCTAACTACTTTCCAGAAGAGGTGGGCATCTCACAGCCCTAAAACACAAGATGACAACAAGATCAGCATAGGACCGCGTAAAGGGCTAGAATCTGATGAAGATGGCAAGGATGCTCGGGTGGCCTATTATGGTCCAATTTCATCCACTATCAGGAAAGTCAAGCTTCTCTCTCTTTCCACCTGCTGCCTATCTGTATCTTTGGGGCCTGTGATAACCTTTATGACATCCCCCGAGATGAATGTAATCTTGAAAGGTGGTGTTGCAGCTTCTGTCATGTTCTTCAGTGCTACTACCACTGCTGTCCTTCACTGGTTTGTGAGCCCTTACATTCATAAGATCAGGTGGCAACCTGGTTCTGATACCTTTGAGGCAGAAATGATGTCGTGGTTGGCTACCCCAATTACCAAGACTATCAAATTTTCTGATATAAGGGTTGCTGAGACCAACAGGCCATTCGTGACGTTCAAAGCTAATGAAACATTCTATTTCGTGGATGCAGACCACTGCCCAAACAAAGCTTTGCTTGCCAAATTGACTCCCCAGAAATCTACTCATGACTCTGCCTTCAAGAACTTGTGATTGAACAATTGCGCAACGGAGATTCTGTAGTATACTATCTCCTTAAGTTAATTTCTTTGAACAATTCTTAGTCTACAGTGACTTTTTTAAGTGAGTCAAACATTGAATTGCCTAACAGAGGAAAGCACAATGTCCTGAGGTTTTGGTCTATTATAAATGAAATAATGTGTTTGTTTATGATGTTGGAAGTGCATTGCAATAGGAAAATTTTGCTGATGCAAGATCATTACAAGACACTGAAAATACCAAAGTTTAATACGAAGTACATCAATTGTTGAAGCTCTAACTCTTTTTTTTAAGACTGAAGAAGTTCCAACTTTTTTTTTCCTTTGACTGTTCTTTGACTGGAGAAGCTCTAACTCCTTGCTAGAAAATGATTTTGTACAGAGTATTGATTGCCAAAACGAAATTCGCCGAGTAATCGAATCAAAATTTAAATAGTTAAACCCAATCATAATGAGCTCTGAAATTCACCTGGATTTTTGAGATAAATTAGCATTTTAGTAGTGGCTTTGGCTTTGGCTTTCGACTGAATAATTATAAATGGTGATAAATAACTGTTGTGGAAAAACATTCTTATTAATTTTTTTTTTTCTATTGTGAACAAGTCTACCAAATAGAATAAAGGAATAATTTGAGAGGTTTAGCAGTTAACTATGTTAGCTTCAATTGTGAATATCAAAGATAACGTAGGGAAAGAGGTATTGTGAATTGGAAAGAAGAAAGGGAAGGAAGAATTTAAATGTTTGGAATTTTATCAAGGGAACTGATACAATATTTCTAATTATTAGATTCTAAAGAACTTTGATTATTACTACGAAGAATTATTTCCCACCTCTTATTCCACATCAATCAATGGAATCATGAAAATAACTTATATTAATATACCTTAATTAGTATTAAATCAACCTTTTTTTCTAATTTGGCATGGACAAAGTTCCATTGAATATATATAATACCAATGATCCATAAAAGTTCGCTCAACTACAATTCAACCTACTTGTCATCCTAATTTTTAATATATATACAAGCTGTTCTAACTTTTAACTTTCCTACTCACCACTTCGTCGAAACTAGAGGTGGGCATGGCCATAAATTAATAATTTAATAATATAAAAACATAAATATAAGTTAATAAAATTATTTAAATAGTATATTCATTTTAAAAGTTGTTCAAAAAAAATTAAAAAAATAATAGGCTGTCCGGTCTCCGGCACGCCAGGCAGCCCAGCACGTCACGTTGCCCACCTCTAGTCAAAACATTAAAAAAACATTGTTTCGTACTAATCAGTTAAGACATTAAAAAGCATTTGAAAAAAAAAAAAAAAAAACAAACACCAAAGGTTAAATAAACAAGCTAGAATTAATTCAAATACTAAGTACTTTAGTTATCTGATATGCTGTTTCACGAGTATCTTAGAGTCTTAGACTAAAAAGTAAAAATTACCAATTCAAAGAATCATAAGGAATTGCAAAGTGGAAACAGCAATTTAGAAAGATGCAGAAAAACGAAGCATATCAGCAAACACATTAAAACGCAAAAGCATAAGATAATAATAATATTGACCTCAATGAACTCCGGAAAACAAAACTTCCGTCTCAGCTAAACAGCAAAGTTCAACCACAAATTTAACAAACAGCAGACGATAAACAAGACTGCAGATTATAAACCCGCCACCGGCGATCAAGTACCCAATTCTGAGAATAGGCACTTGATGTTGATGAAGGCACGAGTTTAAAACCCGCAAAAATATGACCGAACAATAAAATAAAGACACTACTAATAGAAACCACCAAGTCTTTATAAGAGGACTCCTGATAGCATTTATCATATGCTTTTATTAACACACTAACAGTTCATTTCTTCTTTAGGGCAGCCTTGGTAACCTTGGCACTGGTTGGTTCCTTCTTCTCAACATTCTTGATGACACCGACAGCAACAGTCTGCCTCATGTCCCTGACAGCAAAACGTCCGAGGGGTGGGTACTCAGCAAAAGTCTCCACAACCATGGGCTTGGTGGGAATCATCTTCACGAAACCAGCATCACCATTCTTCAAGAACTTGGGCTCCTTCTCGAGCTCCTTACCAGAACGCCTGTCAATCTTGGTAACAAGCTCGGAAAACTTGACAGCAATGTGGGAGGTGTGACAGTCAAGAACTGGGGCGTAACCATTTCCAATCTGTCCAGGGTGGTTCATGATGATGACCTGAGCAGTGAAGTTAGCAGCTTCCTTAGCAGGGTCGTTCTTGGAGTCAGAAGCAACGTAACCACGCTTGAGATCCTTGACAGCAACATTCTTAACGTTGAAACCAACATTGTCGCCAGGGAGAGCCTCTGGAAGGGACTCGTGGTGCATCTCAACTGACTTTACTTCAGTGGTCAATCCAGTAGGACCAAAGGTAACAACCATACCGGGCTTCAACACACCAGTCTCAACACGTCCGACTGGCACAGTTCCAATACCTCCAATCTTGTAGACATCCTGAAGTGGAAGACGGAGGGGCTTGTCTGAGGGCCTCTTTGGCTCGTTGATCAAGTCAAGAGCCTCAAGAAGGGTTGGTCCTTTGTACCAGTCGAGGTTGGTGGACCTCTCAATCATGTTGTCACCCTCAAACCCAGAGATGGGAACGAAGGGGATTTTGTCTGGGTTGTAACCAACCTTCTTGAGGTATGAGGCAACTTCCTTGACAATTTCATCGTACCTAGCCTTAGAGTACTTGGGGGTGGTGGCATCCATCTGTTTCAAAGAGTCAGCATTGTCAGCATAAGAATATGAAATAAACCACAAATCTATAACTTAGAAATTATAAGATTAATATACTGCAACATTAGAAACTGTAGTTATACCTTGTTACAAGCACAAATCATCTGTTTGACACCAAGGGTGAAAGCAAGAAGAGCGTGCTCACGGGTCTGACCATCCTTGGAGATACCAGCCTCAAAACCTCCAGTGGTGGAGTCGATAATGAGGATAGCACAGTCAGCTTGGGAGGTACCAGTAATCATGTTCTTGATAAAGTCACGATGTCCGGGGGCATCGATGACGGTACAGTAGTACTTGTTGGTCTCAAACTTCCACAAGGCAATATCAATGGTAATACCACGCTCACGCTCGGCCTTAAGTTTGTCGAGCACCCAGGCGTACTTGAAGGATCTCTTGTTCATCTCAGCAGCTTCCTTCTCGAATCTCTCGATCACACGCTTGTCAATACCTCCAAGCTTGTAGATCAAGTGACCAGTGGTGGTCGACTTTCCGGAGTCGACGTGGCCAATGACCACCAAACTGATATGAATCTTTTCCTTACCCATGGTAAACTGTTAACCTGTAAGAGCAGGAACAAAGAAAAAACTTAGAACACCGAAAACACACAGCACAAATTAAATTCAACTGTAACACAACAAAACACAACAAATAGTGACACTTGGCATTCTACAAATTCAGATAAAACATGCTTCATCCTAGAAAACTTAGAAAATGAATATTTATAAATTACAATCATAGGTGCAAAACAACCTGTCAACCTTATCTGGAAATGATTGACAAAAGAACAAACAGGAATATTAAAACATTATAATTAATGTCAAAATGAGTCAGAAAGTTAATCATATTATAACATAAATGTTACTTTTATAATATTATAACAATGCTCATCAATTTACACATGCCAGGAACCAGATTCGAACTGGTGACTAGAGGATAACAGATCCTTTCCTCTACCAACCTGAGCTATCCTGACCAAATTACTAATTCATTATGAATTGATAGTTGGCTCATAAGGATCACATTACATGACTTATGAGCACTTTCAATCCACAATAACATCAGACATATACACTATCAATACAAAACTTGCAACGAGTTATACAAAAAGCAAATAAATCTGAAGCAGAAATCATGGATTTAAAGTTTTGAAACATAAAAAACATCATAATATTTAGAAAAATCACAATTTTGGCATGAAAACAGGTACGTACAGTAACATCAGACATTTACACTATCAATACAAAACTTGCAACGATTTATACATATAGCATATAAATCTGAAGCAGAAATCATGGATTTAAAGTTTTGAAACATAAAAAACATCATAATATTTAGAAAAATCACAATTTTGGCATGAAAACAGGTACGTACAGTAGAGCATGACCACTTAAACCTTCAAAACTCGGAAAATATTCATTAATATCAAATTCAATCACTTAATCAACAGATTTAAGCATAATCAACATAATGAACTACTAAATCTAAGGTAGAAGATGACTTCCTTGCATTCAAAATTCAGAAAATAATCATCAATTTAAATCCAAGCACTTAATCAACAGATTTGAACATTACTAGCATGATCAACTACTAAATCTACAGAACACTTAAACAGACTAAAAACAAACGAATTAAAACATTTTCGAAACAAAATCAAACATTCAGAATTTCGAAAAAACAGAGTCATCTAAACTTAAACTCAAATCTCACATATACAGCATCAAATCGACAATACAAACGATCAAATCTCCAGATAAACAAAATCAAAGAGCTAATATCAAAAAATAAAACAATGATTTCAAAAAACATCGAAAAATTTCAATCAATCATAAATTCAAATGAAAATAATCAACTAAAATCCAAAAACAGAGCAATCACACCAATAATTCATCACTTAAACAAACAAACCTCGAAAACAGCAAAATCAAACAATACATTTAATAATAAAACCAATATAATAATCAAAATACAACAATTGAACAATAAATCTAATGAAAATAATACAAGTAGGAAAAGATCGACAAACCTGAAAGAAGAGAAAGCTGCGCAAAAACCCTAGCGGCAGAGGAGAGAGAAAACAGGAGAGAGAGAATAAAGAAATGGGAAGATAAGAAATTAGGGTTTCGAGGTGAGGCTTTTGTCAGGGTTTATATAGTGAAAAAACAGTGGTCGAAATTAAATCTATTTCTGACGAAAATAACCTCATTCCTATAATTAATATACGAGAATATCCTCAATTAACCGACTTAAAAACATTAAACAAAAAGACGCGTGTAAAATGCTGATAAGATGACGACGATGTGAGTAATCACGCGCTAATTAATCGCGTGAGTTTAGATTAATTAGGGTTTTGATTTGAAAAATGTGTGGGAATGCGGAAGTCGTAAGCTGATTGGGCGAAAATAAAGAATAAAGATAGGAAATTGTTTGGTCGTGAAATTAGGGGCGGCAATTTTAAAGGGTGTACACTGTACATTTTATAAATAGTTTTACTAGGGTTTTAAAGTGAGCTTAAACGAAGTTGTGTATTTGTGTGTACCACTACTATTACCACTTTTTTGAAGTGGGTTTACCAATAACCGGATCGATCCCAGATTTTACACCATAAATGGTACGGAGTACTCTTGGTTTTTGAAAAATTGTATCTAATCCTGGGCACCGTGCCGGGCCGTGCCTGGCGGGCCACGGGCTGGTTCGTGTCGTGCCGGTCGTGCCGGCGGGCCCAGGATTTCGTGTCGTGCCGTGCCGGCCATTTTCACAGGCTAGCCCACGGCACGGCACGGCCCTCGTGCCTGGCGGGCTCGTGCCGTGCCGGCCTGCGGGCTGGCAGCGGGCTGGTGCAGTTTTCAATTTTTTTTTTTTTTTTTTTATATGACAACATTATAAATTAATAAGTTTATAATGTATATAAGTTATAAAATTATAATTATAAGTTTTATAAGGTAACTTATAAGTTTATAACTTATAAGTTATAAGTTATTAAGTTATGAATTTTATAATTATAAGTTGAATATTTATGTTTTATAATTTGTATATTCAATATTTATATTTATATATTTACTTTATACTATTACTTTAAAATTTAATGTTTATGATTTATTAGTAATTGGTATAATTTTATTTTATTTTAATATGAATTTACAAATTGTAACAAAACGGGGAAAAAAGGCAAATTGGACTTTGGATGTGAATAATGCGTACTTTATATTATTATTACTTGAGTTGAGAAAATTGTACAATGATAACAATGATAAAAATCATACAATGATAGTATTAAACAAAAATTGGAAAATGATAAAATTGATATTTTTAAAATCGTACAATATACAATAATTGTCTATTCTTCTTCTCCTTCTTCTTGCTCGTCTTCGTCTTCGTCTTCGTCTTCGTCTTCGCCTTCGCCTTCAAGGTCATCGGCTAGTTGCATAGATTGGGAACTAGTCGAACCCGAACCGGAAGCGGAGGTTCCTTCTTCGTTGTCGTTGTGGTCGTAAGAACGGTCTTGTGAGCGATTTTCCGCATCCAACCAATCTTTGAAACACACGCACATTTCTAGTGTTTCGGGTTTTAGACTTGTTCTTCTATCGTCTAAAACCCTTCCGGATGCGCTGAAAGCTCGTTCGGAGGCGACGGAGGAAACTTGGATAGCAAGAATGTCTCGTGCCATTGCCGCCAAAGTTGGATGCTTCGAGCTTTGTTGTTTCCACCATGCAAGGAGATCGAGGCTGTTTATCTCATCGTCGTCCATGCCTTTGGTGAAGTCGTAACTCAGGTACATCTGCAACTCCGAGACGTCGCTTTGCGTTCTCCTGATTGATGAATCACCTGAAAACCTTGAAATCAAGTTAGTAGCTTGTGAAAATAAATGTTTGGCCTTCTTACTTACGTTTTTGGATGGTTGGGAAGGCCCTGAGCGAGGAACGGTGCCATATTTGGCTTCATAGACTCTATATAAAGCAAAAAACTGATCCTTCACATTAGTCTTATAGTTTTCTACATCATCGTCAAGAAACATGCATTGAAAGTAAATGTCAACTAACATAAATGTGTTTTCATACTTTTGCCTAGGATCTAATATGGAAGCAAAAATATAAATCAAAGGAATCTCACTATAATATTTACGCCACTTTTTTTCCATTGCTGGAAGATACTGATCATAATCACTTTAATGGCGATGATCAGCGAAAAGTTGGGCGAGTAAGCATGCATTAGAAAGAAAGTTTTGAGCACAAGGATTGTAAACAGTAGAAAAACAATACGTCATGTTATATAATAACTGTAAAAATTGCATATATCTTTCACAGTTTTTCCAATCATCATCATACAAAGCATTTTGTGGAAATTTTTGGTTGTAAAATAATGTTAACGGGCCCTTGTACTCAATTGCCTTTGTTAACATGTCATAGGTGGAATTCCACCTAGTTGGGTAATCGGTTCTAATTTTTATTACCCTTATCTTTTGTTGTTTTAGAAAACTCTTCCATTATTGGTATCTCATGTTAGAGCTATTAATAGACATAATAGCATCTCTGATTTTGATGTAGTATGGGCCAATTGCCCGAACTCCATCCTGTACACATAAGTTAAGTACATGGCAAACACATCTAGTATGAAGAGATTCACCGTCTAATAGTACATCGGTTAAGTTTTGTTTGATAAGATTAGTTGTGTATGTCATAGAGGTTGCATTATCAAAAGTCATAGACATCATTTTATCTCGAAGGTTGTATTCGTCTATTGCTTGCATTAAATGGTGAGCAATGTTAATGCCGGTGTGTGGGTATTCCAGCATTTTGAAATGTATTATTCTTTTTTGTAACATCCATTGATCATCTACCCAATGGCAAGTCACACATAAATAGTGATATTTATAACCACTATCCCAAGAATCGGCTGTTAAAGATACTCTACAGTTAAGGTTACTCAATTCGGCTTGTAACCGGACTTTGTACTCTAGGAAATTTTTCATTGCGGCGGAACGAACGGTTTTCCTAGAGATTCTTTTATGTTGGGGTTGTAGTGCTTTGTTAATGTAGGTGTTGAATGCGTCACTTTCCGAGAAAAGAAAAGGTTGTTCGGCGTGTACTATCATTTTTCCTAGTTCATTCTTATCCCTCTCATAGTTGTATGTAAAGCCGTATGGATGAAATTGGGAAATTTTGGGCTGGGTTGGATCACTAGCTGGTTTTGCACAAGCTTTCATGTGTCTAGATAAGTGTCCCGTCCCGTTTTTGGTAACTGCCGTGAATACACTATTACATGTTTTACATTTTGCCCATTGTTCACCATCTTTACTTAGGAAAAAATAACGCCATACCTCACTCCTTCGGTTTTTCAAAAGTAGCATCTCAGTTTCGGTTAACCATTCATGATGTGTGTGATGGTTAGTAGTGAGACTAGTGGGAGTGGCAGTAGAAGGGGTAGAACCGGAGGGAATTCGGGTACTTTCTTGGCTACCTTGGCTAGAACAATAGTTTTGTTGATCATCGATATAATTAGGTGGAAATTGGTATGGTGGTAGTGGAAATTGGTTTAGTGGTGGTGCTGGAAATCCCGACGTATTATATGGCTCATAGCCCGGGGGGAAGTAAATGGGGTCATTGGTTTGACTCGTAATTTGGGGGCTCGTTGTATTTGGTGGTTCCCTAGAACTACTACTACGGATAAGTCGGCCTTTCCCCCTAGACCTAGATGATGGGTTGTTCGATGCCATAATTAACAATTAATTTTTTAATAAAAAGTGGTTAACTATAATAATAATAATTAATAACAACAATTTTAACAATAAAAATATCAATAATAATAATTAATAACAACAACTATAACAATAACAATAACAACAAAAATAAATAATAACAACAATTGTAACAATAATAATAATTAATAACAACAATTATAACAACAACAATAACAATTAACAACAATAATAATTAAACAAGATTATTCTAATAATAACAATAAAACAATAATAAATTTAACATTAGTTTAGATCTTACAACCGTGCTTCAACGCTCCACTAATTACGATTACGAACTTTTTAATTTTTTTCGATATTAGGAAAATAATTAGAGAATTTAAGAGAATAATTAGAGAATTTAAGAAAATAAGGATTATTAGAGATTTAGAGAATATAAGAGATAAGAAGAAGAGATTGTGATTTTGTGATTTGGGAATGAAATGGAGGTGAGTATTTATAGAATTTTTGGGGAGCAAATTGGCAAAAAACTAGCCGTTTTTTAGCCGTTTTTTTGGCTTATTAGAGCTAGAATAAACGGTAACATTACCGTTGGCCCGCGGGCCGTGCATGCGGGCCAGCACGGCGGGCCATGCCCGTGCTCGTGCCGGGCCGTGCCTGGGAATTCTCAACCCTGTCCGTGGCACGGCCCGTGGCACGGGAGTTGAACTTCGTGCCGTGCCGTGCTTGAATTCGGGCCGTGCCGGGCTGCGCCGAACGGCGGGCCGTGCCGGGCGGCACGCGGGCCACCCCGGCCCGTGCCCAGGTTTAATTGTATCACTGTGATTTCTGCAGTATTTATATACGAGTATTAACTTTGACCATATATTATATCTACTACGTAATATTATAATCGCGTAAAATGTTATTGAATTATGGCCTATTTGGTAATTTGTTGACAGCTGATTGATAAAGCTGGTTATTTTAACTGGTTGATTTGACTAGATGATTATATTAGTTGGTTACAAATAGCCGATTGTGTAAAAGAATTTGGTAATTAGCTGCTAATAAACTAAGGGTGTGCTCGGCACTAGCTTGTTGATGATATATAATATACTTTCAGGAAAAAAATATTATTTTGTATATGTAACAGTTAGTCAACAGCTACTGACCAAACACTCATACTTTAATTTCTATCTTCACAGCTAACAACTACCTTTACAGGTACATTTTGCCGAACACGTCCTAAAAGTTAAAAAAACTAATTTTAAAAACTTCTTTTTTGAGATTTTTTAAAAAGAGCTTTTTGAACCAAAAAAATATTTTAATAAGTTATACCAAACACTCAAATTAGCTTTTTAAAATGGTCAAATCTCTAAAAAGTCTTAATAAGTTAAAAGCTTTTTACTAAACAAAGTCTATATGTAGTATAGATTATGATATACGGAGCATGTATTTACATAATGTATT